AAAAAAAAAAAAAACGCGAAACCATAAACCGCTCTCTCATGGCTAACTCATCGCTCCTCACTCTGTTCCTCACCTCTCCATCATCTCCACCACCAATGCCGCCGTCAACTTCACTAGGCCCACCACCAAAGCTACTTCCACCGCCATCAACTCCACAATGCCCACCACCAATACCAACACTACCGCCACCGCTGCTGCCGTCAACTCCTCAATATCTACCGCCAACGCTAACACCTCCACCACCGGTGTCAAATCCACGATTCCCTCTACAAATACCACTGCCACCGCCGCTAACTCCACAAGACCCACCACCAAACTCACCGTCACCGCTGTCAACTCCACAAGACCCACCTCCAGAAACAATACCATTACCCCACAAGAACTGGACACACTCCTCGGAAGGTGAAGAGTAATGAAATTAACGTGGAAAGGAAACAAATACATTAGAGTCTTTTGTATAACTGATACGGGGTAACTATCGGTTAATGTTTATAATGAAATGAAATAAATAGAATGGGATATGATTAATTGTCCACTTATTAAATAATGGCGGCTGAAGGGTTTTTCGTTAGTTCTGATAATAACTACTGAAAATGTACTTATTCTTAGTCTATTAATTAACCAATAGCATTATGTTTACTTGATTTAATTACAATTTGTAGTAATGACTATTTGATCAATTAATAAGATATCGTGGTTCATGTATTATGGCGTACACTGTTTAATCAAATTTTTAAAATTCAATCAAATTAGACTTTTCAGTATCAAATGTTTAAAACGTATGTATGAGCTAGCTTAGTTCATATTCTTTGCCAATTCATGCCTAATTCTATCACGGACCTCCAAATCACATTCTGAACACGCTCCTACGTCCAAAATCACCTAACGGGGCTAACCGAACCATAAAAATCCAAATCCGAGATTGTTTACTCATAAATCAACATCCGGTTGACTTTTTCAACTTAAGCTTCTAAATAGGAGACTAAATGTCTCATTCCACTCCGAAATCACTCCGGACCCGAACCAACCAACACGATACGATAGAATACAGCTGAGGAATACAAAAGGAAGCGGAAATGGGGGGAAACGAGACTATAACTCACGAAATGACTGGTCGGGTCGTTACAAAATTATTAAAAATATTAGTGATCGCGTGCAACTCTAGTCCTAAAAAGGATAAGCGGTCGCTGCAAATATAATCCGGTCTAAAAGTCTGGAGTCGAATCCCACAGAGAACTAAGGCTTAGATATAACTGTTTGATATCACTAAGAAGACAAGTTTGAACAATTTTCTAAATTATAAAGATTGAAATTTATATTTCTAACTAATTAACTAGCAAATACTATAAATCGGTAAAATTATCAACTAACGAGACAAAGGGTTGGAGACTAAATTAAGGAGGTCTAGAGTTGTGATTTTACCAATTGTCGAAATCTTTCCAGCTATATTTCCTACAATTTCGCCGATATATTTTCTACTGATCGTGATCACTTTAGGTGCCGTAATTCTCTCTCGAGCAACTACAATAATTTACTAGACATATTCTCTCGAACTACGCTAGTTGGCTTCATCTAACCGCTCACTATGACCACGCTTGGCTTTGTTATTTCTGAACCTACCTTTAAACCCTCCGTATTGATCTCTCACATACATTAGGAGTGATTTGTTCAACAACTACCTAAATATATACTCTCTCTCGAGCAGTACACACTAAATAGGCACAGTCAATTGATTGTCATTCAATCAACAGTAACAAACACGTAGTTGAACATGTAGAGAAATTCAATGGATCAATTATATAAAAACACAACAAGAAATCAGAATTCATCCTCCAAGAGGTTCCATCAAAATTCCTAGATAATAAATTAGCTATTCATAATAGTATGCAAAAATATAATATTAGAATTCATAACCAATAATAAAAATAAGAAGAAGGAAGTGAGAAAATTGTAGAAGAATTTTCCGCCTTGCTCCTAGTATGTTCTTGTCTCCTTAGGTCGAATCTCGCTCTCCTTAGCCTCCTTAGCTCTATATTATGTCAAAAGTATGTCAAAGGTGCTCAAAATACCATATTTTCATGTATATATACCAAGTAGGGTCGGGCCCAAACAATTATACCTTCTCCTACGCGAAAAAGGACACTTTTCTAGGTCAGGACATCCGCGGCCGCGGATTCGACCGTGGATTTTGCATAGTGTTCTGTCCGCGACCACAGATCTGACCGCGGACTGTTTGGAATTTGGAAAAATGTAAAACATAAAAGTTGTATCCCTTTGAATTATCTTTCCAACCATACATTGTGGAGCCCAAATGGAGTTCTGAGTGAAAAGTTGTGTGTATTTTATTAGATAGTGCGTAATATGCTACTCGATTCTTCGTTCGTTCTTAACTATCATCCGTTGATCCCCAACACGATCCCGACTTAATTCCTTGGGCGTTTACTCATACTTCAAAGCTCCAAATCACTTGAATTCATTCCATAACATCTACATAGCTCGGAATCACTCCTACAAGGCATAAAACACACAATTAGTGCAAAACACTAGCGATTAAAGCTCAAACTCAATTAAAGTGCAATAAATTAGAGTGTAATAAGCAACTAAAATATGTAATTATAGCCTATCATCAATAAGTACTCATAAAAAATAATAAAAAGGCTTATCTCTTTATACTTTTGATGAATTCATAATTAGAATTTGGTAAAAAAATATATTATTTAAATTTTCAGTAAATATAAAATGAGAAAACTAACCAAATATTATAGTATAAATGAATGCAGAAAAAGAGGTAGATAAAGATGATTTTATAATATTTATATTTTGAATTAATTAATAAACAAAATATAAATAAATAACACTCAAAAAAATTATTGATAAATTTAGACAATTGAAGAAATTTAAGCAGTATAACATAAGTATAAAAATATATATATTCAGAATAAGAAAATATATATGTATGTTCTATTAGAAGAGAAGTAGTATCAACATATTAAGCCAATTGACAAATTAATAAAAAATTACATTAGTAAATGTATAGTACTAAGTACTTACTAATTTAATAAAAAATAAATAATGAATAAATAATTTATTTGATTACTATAATGCTTTGTATCCTTTGATTTTTATAGATTTTATTATATATATGTACACTACATTACATAGTATAATAGTAACTAATATTTATTAAAATAATATAATATATTAGATCATAATTTTATAAGATTAATATTCCGTCAAATTATCCATGCATCTGTCCGGGTTCTAACACTAGTTTAAGAAAGAAAAAGAAAATCAATACTTCCACACTGTTACAATAATTTAACGGCCACGATCCACTGGATAAATTGTGTACAAATACACGCTCCACACCTTACAATTCCCCTCATTAAAATTTCAACTGCATCGAAAACAGAAAAAACCGCCAAACCAAAAACCTTCTCTCATGGCTAACTCATCGCTCCTCACTCTGTTCCTCATCCTCTCCATCATCTCCACCACCAACGCCGCCGTCAACTTCACAAGCCCCACCACCAAAGCCACTTCCACCGCCATCAACTCCACATTACCCACCACCAACACCAACACTACCCCCACCGCTACTGCCGTCAACTCCTCAATATCCACCAACAACGCTAACACCTCCACCACCGGCATCAACTCCAAAATACCCACTACAAATACCACTGCCACCGCCGGTAACTCCAGAATACCCATCACCAACACCACTGCCACTGCCGTCAACTCTACAAAACCCACCACCAAAACCACCGTCACTGCCATCAACTCCACAAAACCCACCACAAGAACCACCTATAAAAACAATAGCATTACCCCACAAGAACTGGACACCCTCCTCGCAGCCTTAAGGTATCGCGGTTACCCTCTCTTCAGCAACGCTATCGACACCTCCGACGTCCAATTACAAATGCTCTCCACAGTCGCCGACACTTCATCGGCATTCACTATCTTCGCTCCAAAAGACCATTTCCTTTACACCCTCGATATGGCCTCCGACGCCGATGCTTACGTGGCCGCACTCATGTGCCACGTCATCCCTTCTCGCCGACTCACCATCACCCAACTCCGTAACCTCACTTCTCCTTATCTCGAGACCCTTTTGCTCCATTACAGCATCCTAGTCGGGAAGAGCAAGAGCGACGACGTTTTTGTTACAGTTGATGGGGTTCGGGTTTCGGATCCGGATCTTTATCTCGGGTCAAAATTTGTTGTTCATGGGTTAGATGGGATTCTTCTGACTGGGTTTAATATGTATGAGGACACTCTCAGCCATATGGGGAAAGGATTCTTTGCTCCGGAGATGGGGGAATTCATTGGTTCTCAAACTGGAGGGAATTCTGCGGCGGCGACGCCTAAGAAAGCGTCGTTGCCGGCGGCGAAGATTGGAGGATTTTCGAGAATTATGAGGAAGCAACGGAGACTGCAGTATCGCCGGATTTGGAGGAGTAATTACAGTTTCCGGCGTAGCTATGATGGTAGTCGCAGTGATGATGATTTCTAGGGGCATTACTGTAAATCTCAGCTTTCTTCTGGGGCAAATGTGTCTTCTACGAATGTTGCAACAGAAGTGAAAATTAGTGAAAATGTAGAAAATGTGAATTCCCGATTGAATATCAATGAAATCGATAGGTAATTGTTGTGAAAATTCTCATTTTTGTATTTGGAGATCAGAAATCACTCTATTCTCTCACTTCTTATCTTCTATTTATTTGGGAATTCTGTACAAAATGAAAATGAACAAAGATCCACTTAATCCTCTTCGCTGAAACATCTTTTTTCTTAATAAAAAAACTAATTAATGGAAGTTTATATTCTTTTTCAAATTAATCTTTTACTATATTCGTTTCTTCTCATTATGTGAAAAATAACGAAGAAAGCAAACTTGTTAAGTATACCGCGAACCACTTATTTCCTCTCGTTAATCCCATTCCATTTTGTTTATATATATTTATCAAATTTATTAATGAGCGATCTTATTGAAACTCAATGTATAATTCCACAATTTTGCTTCAATTATACAAGCAGGAATAATCATATAATTAAGAGTTTATGACCAAGTAAGCTAATGGTCATAAACTACCCCATTAGCTTTCGTAAGTAAACAAAGTAACATGACAAGAGAAAAAATGTGGAATAAACTCAAGCATCAAGCATGTTAAAGCTTTATATATTAATCTTTCATAATACTTGTGATAGATAAAAAACCCTTCATTTTTGTTTTGCAACATTAAAATTAATTGATTATCGAGCCAAAGGAGATGGTATCTCTGGGGTTGAACAAGACTCACTAGCATCACAATATCCATGTAGAATATCTCCTTCTTCGGATGTGAAACCAATGGATCCAAGCATGGACGGCCAACACTGGCGTTCAATAGTTCGTATGGCACCACAACAGTCGGGTCCGAGGTAGGTTTCACCATTAATGAAGAAAAGCACGATCTCCCCGGTGCATGTTTGGAGCTCCAACAATGAGTCCCAACACTGCGACGAACCTTCTTCGTCTTCTACCTTTAAACGTGCCAAAAGAGTTGTACAAGAAGCAGATTTATTAGTGGTTGAAGGTCTAGCTTGAAGAATATTGATCCATGAAAATAGGGTAAGTAGTAGTACAACTTTAAAGACCGTGAGACTCTTCATGTTTGTATAAGTTACAGTATATAACTAAGGAGTGGGATATATTCGTGTGATGATCGTAGGAGAAAGGAATTGTGGGAGCTGTTATATATATATATATGTGTGTGTGTGTGTGATTTGTGAAGAAGAATTTTCGGAATTTATGGGGATCGGAAGGTGAAGAGTTATGAAATTAATATGGAAAAGAAACAAATATATTAAGTCTTTTGTACAACTGATACGGGGTAATAATTGATTAATGTTTATAATGAAATAAAATAGAATGGGATACGATTAATTGTCCACTTATTAAATAATGGCGTCTGAAGGGTTTTTCGTTAGTTCTGATAATAACTACTGAAAATGTATTTATTCTTAGTCTATTAATTAACCAATAGCATTATGTTTACTTGATTTAATTACAATTTGTAGTAATGGCTATTTGATCAATTAATAAGATATATATCGTGGTTCATGTATTATGGCGTACACTGTTTAATCAAATTAGACTTTTCAGTATCAAATGTTTAAAACGTATGTATGAGCTAGCTTACTTGGAGACACCGACATAACTGTCGTTGAAATTGTGCATGAATATATAGATGAAGTAAAGCATCACTCCACCCTAGCTCGCATATATAGCTATATCACTACAAGAGGACAGGCCATTAGCATGGGAAATTTGCGTGGGACTTCAGTTCCCTAGCTAATATAAGCATCTACGCATGTAGCTAGAAAAGTCCGATTTCCATGCGAATTTTTTCGATTAAAAATATAGTCACAAAATAGCTAGGAATCAACTAGGACTATTCCTTGCTAAATAATAGCTACAGTTTTTTCCTAGCCAAATTTATAGCTAATATTTAGCGGGAATTCTAATTTGGCGCTAAATTTATTTTTCCAAAAAGAGCGTAGTTTAGCTAGGGACACAGTCCGTAGCGCATCCCTAGCAATGCACTAGCTAGGAAAGTCTCCTTAGCTAATCTATAGCCAAATATCAGCGGAAATCCTATTTTGGCGCTAAAAATTTTGCGGAAGATTTGTCTTTTAGCTAGGATTACATTCTGTGGCTAATCCCTAGCTAAAAAGTAGCTACAAATGTTTCCTTTTAGCGGGAAGTTAAATATGGCGCTAATCTTTTTTGTCAATTTTGGTTGTTTAGCTAGCAAAGTAGCAATGAATCCAAGCTAGTCTCTATCAAATTATTATTATTATAAAAGTTTAATTACGGTCTTTGGACTTTTGGTTGAAATCCCTAAACTAAAGGCAGCCGTTTCCTTAAATTTGTAAAGATAGGCTTAATAGTTAAAATCCTTAGTAATCTTATTTTAGTTGGACTTTTGGTTGAAATCCCTAAACTAAAGGCAGCTGTTTCCTTAAATTTGTAAAGATAGGTTTAAAAGTTATAATCCTTAGTAATCTTATTTTAGTAGAATTACAGTATCTCAATTCCTTTAAATCCGCTAAACACCCACGCACTCTTCCACGTCTCTTCATCTTTATAAATCCTCAACTATCATCTTCCAATTCAGTGGAGAAAGAACTCATATTATCGTTGCCGCTTGTAAGCTTCCGTGAAGGTAAGAATTTCTCTTATACCTAAAGCATTTGTGCAAAGAGGTTTGTTGTGAGTGTTTAATTTGTTCTGTAATTATCACTTTTAATTTAATTTTTTCATTTTAGCAAGATACTGATTAACAAAATATCATCAAAATTCAATGAATCCAAACCTGTGGAAGATTGTGAGTGTTCATCAGTACCTTTCTTGCACCAGGAACTCTTGTCATTGTTTAATTTTGTGTTAACTATAGAATTAAGAGAGGGCAATTTCCCCAACGATTTGCATGTGTTCCTACCTTGATATAGAAATTGAACTTTCAGTAATGTTTTAAAATGTTTCTACTTATATGTTTTGTTTGGTATTTGTTGTTTATAAAATTGTTATCCTTATATTTTTATTGAACAACTATTTTCGGGCTTGAGAGGAAAGTAATGAAGATTTATTGTTACTATTGTAAATCAAGTAAAATTATTTTAGACGAGGGCAACATGATAAGTGAAGAAGAATAAAATTAATATAATATTATACTTTTGTATATGATTGGAAAGAAAAAAAGTTTATATGCCCTTTGTAGGTTTAATAGCAAACAAAACTGAGGTGAAATAGTAAATTTCACTTAAAAACATGTGTCTAATAGAAAACAAATTCAACCTCTACTAGTTGTCTTGAAGTGATTTTTCTCTTAATTAAACAGTGATTCTGAATCCTTCTCAATTTGCTATTTGTGGTGTTGTTAATTTGTTTAAATTGGTGAACTAATAATATAAGAAGGTTTGGATCTCATTTACTTGGTAAAAAACTTACCCGCACTAAGTATCTACACCGGTTTAGTTAAATTAACCACACAAGACAAACTAAGGTCTAGAGGCATATTTTAAATAAAGAAAAAAATAAAAAACAAAAAAGAAGCGAAGTCATTAGCCTAACATTTACAATCGTTAGGTTGCCGTCAACGTTTGTTCTTCTTCTAGCGTTTTGGTATATTCTGAAGCTTTGGGTCATTCTTTCTTCAGTTTATTATTTATTGATTGCAATCAAAAGCCGTAATTCCAAAACTACTACTTGGTTGGAATTTTTCATGTAGAATGATTTAGTACTAGTATTTTGAAACATTTGGGAAAAGAAGCTTATCTTTTAAATTTTGACGGTGTAATTTACACATTTAAGAAAATCCTTGATTACTTTTATAGACTAATAAAACTTTGTAGGAAACCCTTGGATGCTTTGTTAGCTAAATTAAACGGCCAATTACATAATCAAAGTTGCGCCCTTGACTTCTTTATATCGCTTGTTGAGTTTGTGAATGAAGATGTACCTTAAGTTTTTTGCTAGAAAAATTTCCCGATTTAAATGATTTTATCCTTTTAACTACTAGTTGCACACATTCTCATCTTAGAAAAAACAAATTCATTATTGCAAATTTTTTGGTTATTATATTCAGGTAGAACATTGGTTACCTATCACATATCATATTCTTAACTAAGTTGACGTTATGATATTGAAAATGAAATAGAAGTATGATAAAGTAATATGATGATAAGTTCAAATTAACTAATCTTAGGATGGACGTAAATTCATGTTCATTCTGGTAACGATAGAGTTTAGTGGCATAGGAGTTTTATGAGATTTAATATTTCTAGGGGAAGTTTTTAACTACTGGAACAAGATGATGTGGATAACTGGGTATGCATCAAGATTTCAAAAGCACAACAGAAAGAACAAAAATATAACAAAAGTCGCATGTAAATAAGTTGCCGACATTTAGTTACCGTTGGATGTTGATTATTTTATATTGTTAGTTAAAATTACAAAATAGATGATAGTTAACTATAGTTATTCACTAATAGTTATAGTTAAATACATTGTCATTTGTCAAATATTTATTAGTGGGGTGTAAATACTCGGTGCGGATAAATTTTTACTCATTTATTTTGAATATTAACTAACTAATATATTATTACTGAAAATAGTATTTTGTCATTGTCTGAAGGAGATCTTACCCGAAGATGCTAAGTTACCTAATGATTACTATAGAACTAAACAAATGGTTGCCAAACTTGGGCTAGGATATGAAAAGATAGATGTATGCGAGACGGGTTGTATCCTATATTACAAGGATAACAAAGACAAAATAAATTGTCCAAAGTGTGGTCAACCACGTTATAAGCCTAAGAGAGGAGGCAGTGAAAGGCAAAAGGATGTTCCATATAAAGTACTACGCTACTTTCCTATAACTCCGAGATTACAAAGATTATATATGTCAACAAAGACTGCTGAACATATGATATGGCACCAGAAATCTCGTCGAGAACCTGGGGTAATGAGTCATCCAAGTGATGGAGAGGCATGGAAAAAGTTTGATCAAT